GTTTTAGGACATAAGCTTACATTTTAAGGTATTTCGGGAATTTTTTTTTTATGGATTTTTTAACGATGGTAAGGCTATAGTAAGGCATGTTTTGGGCCTGCAGCGCCTCCTGCAGATATAACAGATTCAAGTTCAAGTCAAAACAAAGGAGAAGAACGTTTTTGCTGACTGAAGGAAACTTTTGGTCCATTTTAGCGTTTTTCCAATCGGGCTAACACTGGCTAACAATCGGGTATTTCTGTTCTGCTAACTGTTCCTGAACTGTGCAGCAATCTTTGATCTTTTATCATCACATTATTTGGCAAAATTTAGCCTGCAAGAAATTTTAGCACTAACTTGCTAATTTATTTTCTAAAATAAATAAATAAATCACCTTTGCTATTGTTTTTGCTCATTTTTTTCCTCAATATATTTTGGACTGTTTCTTTGGCAAAACTCAATTTAATTTTTATATATTTAATTTATTCTGTTGCTAAATAAGAATATTAACACATTTAGGCTGAATTTATAAATAAAACTACATTTCATGAGTTATTTTCATCATTTTTTTTCTATCAAAAGAAACTATAAATAACAATTAACAATTATTTGACATATTTCAAATGAATGTCTATTAAAATAGGGTGCATTAATTATTGATATAAAATAATGACCACTAGGACAGAAATACTTTGGAAATGAGTACATTTGTACGAATACCTGAGTGCTTTTACTTTAGTTTTCTTTCTTAGAAAATTATACCCATAACCATATAAAAGTATATACCTACATATTTTAGGGGAATTTATTGGTATAGTATTTTATTGTTATCAAAAGTTGGCGTACCAAAAAAGTATATTTTTTTCTTTTCTGAATTTTAACCACAAAAATTGACATTTTTTAAGACAAATTAGTGTATTTTTAGTTATTTTTGAGAAACTTATTTTTGAAGACCTTTCCAGGATCTTATTAGTATAGTATTTTATTTTAATCAAAAGTTGATATACAAAGAAAGTATATATGATCTGAAATTTAACCATGGAAAAGGAAATAACTAGGCATTTCAATGAACATTTGTGTATTTTATATGAATTGTGGACATAGTTTTATTTTGTTAAGATTTTTTTTAGTAATTCATTAGTTTTGATCATACCAATTGCTTTATTCTGAACCCTAATTCCAACTAATCCACCCATATCACAAACCTTGACCCTAAGCCTTATTCCAAGTTTTCTTTCCCAATCCTAAACCAAAGTCCTAAAACACACAGTGTTGAGATCTGTACCTCACTGTCCATGAGCACTGGCTTTATTCCCAAAAAGGTCACATGGTCAGTCCTGGGACAATCTCTACGTCTGGTTGTAAGGACTTGGACGAGATGCAGAGGCCACCAGTCTCTGTGGACAAAGAAGGTAAAAACAGGATGTGTTTTAGTCTTCAGCAGATATTTGCTGTGTTTAAGACCCTTTTTTATTATTAATGTCCAACAAAAAAGACATCTCGTGTGCTGGGCCAAGACAACAAGTTCTAAGACAGAATGGTGTTTTATGTTGAACTAAAACACGTGATAGACCTGATATGATTTATTTGATTTTACTCCTTCAAAACTCATTAAAAATAAACATCAGAGCAATGATGTCATTTTGGTCTTCAATTTCAAGTGCTGCATCATCTTCTAAAATTATAAGAACATTTGTAGGGTTTTAAAGTTCTTACAAAGCCGGTTGTGACCTGGTGCAAAAAGTGCAGAGTCTCTATAAATAAAGTTTTTAGGTCCAATCTGTCTCAGAACTTTGACTTTCCCCTTTAGATTAGAATATAGCCAGAACAAACTCAAGTGTGAGAGATTAAAACCTTTGCACCTTTGACCTTTACATTGCTTGAAGAGTAACCACAGTGTGCTCCCATTTACCACCACACATCCACCACAGGACATCACTTGTCCCCGACCACGCTGTAGTACCACGGCCATGCTTCAGTGTTGATTGGCTCACCCACTGCTGGAAAACACAAGAACAGAGTCATTCATGAAATATTTGTTTGCTTTGCACTGGTCATGTCAATGCAAATATGTTGACTATATATATATATGTTTTTATTACAGTGGTTTTTTTATAGATGCTCACATCCCCCCGTAACAATGTACACATTTTGGACAGGGAAGACAGATGGTTTGAGAGAGGGGTAAAAGAAGCAATTTTTGTCAACCTGGAAAAACCATCATTCAACAGAGGAGGTGGACTCAGACACAACCTATCACCCACTTACAAAGCACTTTTAGGAACAATACCTCAGTATTCAAAGTTTCACCTCAGTTTCACACAACAAAGAGGCAGGTGACCGAAACCGTTCTGATGGGGACCACAACGACCCGTCAGACTCTTAACGACTGTTTACACTTTCACAGGTGACCCCAAGACCCCACCCAACAGGGTGGAGCTGAAGTAGCTTTATTCTTTCACACCTAGAGTATATATTTGCTGTACTCCCCACCACCAGTTAGAACTGAAGAAGCCTCTTGGATTAGAGGTGAAACTACTTCTTTTAGAAAATTCACGTCCAGTTGCCTAACATAACTTTTTAAACTTGACCATGACCCGGATGACTTAAAACAAATCAACTTCATTTGAATATGCCATACATAAAGATAAAATTAAATTACAGTTCTCTCTGACACCAGGTGCAAACAGGCAAAAAATAGAATAAAAACAACCAATTCAAATATAAATAGAAGACAAATGAACAGCCAAGGGCATTTTATAACAAAAATAAGATCATACAATAAAACAGGCCATTGTTGCTATTAGGGTGAGGTAGTGCAGTTTAGATGTGTCTGGAAGTGCCTCAAATCATCATATTATACCATACTAAAAATTGACATATTTTATGATGATGATTTAACAAATGGCTCTACTGTGTTACAACATAGTTGTCAGAAATGTAAACTACAAAAATAATAAAATATTAATTTATGTGTTTGTGCTACACAATGTTGCACCAACAGCTTGCCCGTGCAAAATTGTTACACGACACACATTTTTACATTAGACGCCAATAATTTCAGTAACTCTTTCATACCGTTATGAGGGTGGAGCGGTCGTATTTCTGCACCCAATGGTCTCATAGCTGTTGGTGCTCCATAAAACTGGTTAATCTTCAGTCTTTGAACCATCTCTCAGTACCTTCCTGTGAACCAACAAAAGCATGTCTTTGTCACTGATGAACAGAAATAACTCCCCACCTTGGAACATGACTTTCACGTCAACACTGTTGTGTTGTTGTCAGCAGTTCCAACTTTAACAATAATACAAAGAGCTACTTGTTTGAGACAGACTTCCAGAACAATGTAACAATGATACTATTTGTATAAAAAGAGAGTATTTGTATAAAAGGTAAATTAAACCGTTAATTTGTTTTTAAAGATCCAACAGTATATTTGACATAAAGTCAGAAAATCAACAATTGTAGCTCCTCCACCTGGAGCACAACTGCTACTACAACGACTTCTACTAATTCCAATGTTGGCTCCACTTTTAACATATGGAGGCTTAAGTTTTACCTTTTGATTTTTCAAACATTTGCCTTTTCCGGACGAGTCATCCGCTGTGCATTGAGTGTTTACAGAGCTGAGAACGTTGAACCGCAGTGTCTAGCATGTTAACTTACCGACAAAAAAGTTTACCTACCTAACGCACAACTCTTGATAAAATGACTAAACAGCACATAAACGCATCCATTTTTAAGTTTAATCGAGACGAGTTTGTTTTTAATCAGGTTATCTTTCCCCCTGTGACTTCCATACACACTAAATGTTTGTTTGATAAACAAGAGCAATACTTCCGGTTTAATTTAAATGCCTTCTCTTGCTACTTATGCGCAAACTACCGAGAGAAATTGCGTAAATGTAGAGGTCCCGCAGTGTAAATTATCGTTAATGCAGAACAAGTTTGTATTTGCGTGCAGAAAGAAATAAAATAGATGATTGACGACATTACTAAAAAGCAACAATGTTGTTGTGGTATTAGTACAGTCAACTCAGGAGAAATGACATTTAACCCGAACGAAAAGCAGACTGTACAACTAAACAAATTATATTAGGTGCAATAACATAAAATTATCCTCAAAGTTTAATTCTTACCTTTTGGTTTTTCAAACATTTGTCTTTTCCGCTGTGACCCGAATGTCCACAGAGATGAAAGACGACGTACTGTTGACGAGAGAGGAGACTGATAAGTGACGCACTATTGTCCATAAAATGGCTGAACATCAAATAAAACTGCTTCATTATGTAAATGAAACGTAAAACGTTTGTTTGTGTCAGGTTATCCCCCCCTCGTAACATCCACACACACTCGACGACGACCAAATGTTTGTTTGAAAGAGCATGCATTTCCGGTATAATTTAAAAGCTCTTTAAAAGCAAATCAGGGAGAGGAAATGACGTAAATTGATCTGCGTGTACAAATAAATAGACATTTAAATAAAAAGAAAGCATATGAGAAAGTATCTTAATAATATTATTGATCTTCAATCAAACTTTAAACAAGGTTAGTCAAAATATTTTAAGATAATCTACTAAAACTAAACGAACCCTATGTGCAGCTTACCTAAATATGTTGAAATGATAGGTAATGACACAAAAATAAAGCAAATAAGTCAAAAGAAAATAAAGGAACAATTTAAATGGCTAACAATAAGACCAAGGATTTGCTAGTTAGTGCAAAATTGCGATATTTAGCCTTTGATATTCAAAGGTTATCTAGAAAAATAGCAACAAAGAAAATAATCGAATAACCAGATGTGAACAATTACCCTAAAATAGTCATAAATTAGCATTGATGTTATCACAAATATAAACAGTTAATAGCAAAATGAGGGCAAAATATTATTTAATTCTGTTAAGTCAGGTCAACATGTCCTTTTTGAAAAAGTCATATTAAAAGAAACATTTTTACAGTACTTCATATACTGCCTTGTGTGTTTCTCCATCAGTAGATGAGTGAATAGACATTATTTTATTAGGATCCATCAAAAATGTTTGTTGTCCCATCGGTGTTGTCCTACTGCAGTAATGCATTGTTAATTCTCCTCCTCCTCTGACGTAACAGCTGACATCCCATCTAGGGGGGCGTGTCTTACAGAAATCCCCAGCCCAGGAGCAGACGTAGCTGCAGTTGAGAGAGAGGCAGGGAGGCAGGAAGAGTTTGGAGACACTGCAGAGGGGGTGCAGTCATGGGGAACATGCAGGAGAAACCTTCAGGCAGTGGAGGAGCCAGACCTGATCAGGCCACAAAAGGGAATGGGGCAAGGAGCTGGGGTGGAGGCAGCAGTCAGGGATCTCCAGAGAAGAGGGGGGTGGTCAATGGTACGCAGAGAGGAAACAGCCCTGGTACTGGACCACAGCAGGAGGCAGTGCAGGAGGAGGACAGACCTGCAGTGGACACAAGTTACCTGGACGCCCCTGCTGGGGCTCTTCCTCTTCACCTGGCTCGCCTCAAGAATGAGGGGAACCACCTCTTCAAACATGGTCAGTTTGGAGATGCTGTGGAGAAGTACAGCCAGGCCATTGATGGATGTGCTGCTGCAGGTGAGGACGAACAACTGGTTTGTGTTTAGCGAAGGATCTCCTTTTCACCAAGAGTTGTTCTTCTAGGAAGCACGTCAGACGGAGAGAAATGATAGAAGCTGCATGTTCATTTGTCATGACTGTGTTAAGTAAAGCTACAAGAACATCACTTTAATACACAATATAAGGTAAACCCCTAGAAATTTAACAACATGAAAACTTGTCCCTGTATGACATTTTAATAGGCTGATGTGTTAAGACAGTGTTCAGTAGTCTGTCTCTTGTGTCACTTTAAATCTCACATACCAACCCTAAGGTTCATGTAAACTTTAGCTTAAAAAAAGTACCAAACCAGAGCCAGTGTTTGGGGCCATAACTCCACATCGCCTACATCAGTCACTAATGTCTTACACCAACCCTGACTGTTTCTCCTGTCTTTCTTTCTTTATCCACTCACACAGCAGCTATGTTACATCCATCCTCCATCCTGAACATTGAAAACCGCTGGTCACTTCTCAGTTGTTACGGACGTGATCTCAGAGAGAGCTGACACCAGACCCTGATACTGACTGTACTGTAGTGAACACGGCTGCAGCTTTAAGAGCACGTAGCCAACATTTTCATCAGGAACATTAGTCACAGGTTCCTGCAGCACAGGAGACAGGCTCATAACCTCCCTGAGTTTTGCAAGAGATAAACAAAGTAACATCACCCAATCAAATCAATCAAACACCTTTGGCTATAATTTACAGAGAATGTTTAGTCACACATCTTGTACAAAAACATGGACAACACAAACAATGGCATGTTTACAGGCTCCGTGAACCACTGAGCTGAGACGAGATGAATGGGACGAATTAAATTCACTTTTTTTAATGACTAGAATAGGAGAAAACATCAATACACGTGAGAACCAGGGGAATTTAAAATGTTTTAAGACTAAGTGAAAAACACATTGTTGGAGATTGGGAAGAAATTGCACTATAATTCAATAATTTTAACAGGTTTCCATTCCAGTTCAGGTAATAATGTGAATTGTGCTCTGTTGACGTTTTATTTTCACTATGTGTTGATGTAATATTTCATACTGAGTAAAGTGTTGTCCCATCCAGAGTACAGTCTCTCAGAGGAGTGGTTGTTGTTCTCCTACAGGCCTTGACAGTCCAGAGGACCTGTGTATTCTCTACTCCAACAGAGCTGCCTGTTACCTGAAGGATGGCAACAGTACAGACTGTGTAGTGGACTGCACCAAGTATGTGATCATGTGACTGCATTCATGTATCTATAACAGTTTCTATGAGGATAATACAAAAGACTAGGCACCGGGCATTTGGAATAATCTCAGGTCAATTTGTTCAACTTTTTTGTGTATGTCTATGGTCTTATTATTAACTAACTTTTAGCCATTTTATTTATTATTTTCTTTAGTTTATGCCAGAATATATTTTTTAAACTTTTGTGACCAGATGCTACGTCATTTTCTTATCGACAGTTCATGATTAGACCTATTAGCTGGGAGGTAAAGATGAGATGTTAGTTCTCTATGGTATTGGTTTACTTATATTGCTGCCCTGGATATAAAAGACCATTCTGGAGAATAATGGGAGCTCATTATAACAGCAGATGTGTTTTTCCATTGACTGACTTTAGAGCAAACATACACCATTATTGTGTCTGTAGAAAAGGGAGGCTTGCTTTTGATTATTTCTCCATGCCCTCAGTCTGAGCACAGAGTTATTAAAAAAAATCCTTTATGATGTCACTAATGAAAGGATCAGCACTTTTAGAGTCTTTGCTCACTTGAAGAACTCTCTCTGTTAACCTCTGTGTGTGCATGACTGAAAATCCTCAGAACATCACATGGTTCCTGCTGGAAAACTGTGTCAGCAGACAGGATTTGATCCACTGTATTTCTCTGCCTCTGTCTCTATGTCTTTCTGATCCTCTTAGAGCCTTGGAGCTGCGGCCTTACTCACTGAAGCCCCTGCTGCGTCGTGCTATGGCCTATGACTCACTGGAGCGCTACCACAAGGCCTACGTGGATTATAAGACTGTCCTGCAGATAGACACAGGGGTGCAGGCAGCACATGACAGCGTCCACAGGTCAGGGTCATCAGACACACAAACACAATTACAGCTGTGTCGGTGACTCCATTCATTTCCCTCTGCCTGTGTTTCTCCAGAATCACTAAGATGCTGATAGAGCAGGACGGCCCAGAATGGAGAGAGAGACTCCCAGAAATCCCTGTGGTTCCTCTGTCTGTGCAGCAGCATCACAGACAGAAACCAGACAGCATAGAGCTGGCCAAGGCCAGAGCTGCCAGGGCTGCACAGGAGGAGGGTGGGTCACAAGGCTGGACCTCACACGTTATGATAATTAGGATGTTTAACATGTTTATGTTCTTGTGAGTCACATATATAGGTTTTAGTGTTACCATGGAGACATGGATTGACATTATCTTAGCCATTGTGTTTTAGTTTTTTACAGTATGTGTTTCAACTAAGAACTTGTCTTTGTTTGAATGTCTCTAAACTCATACACTAATCAAACCAAAGTATAGAATCAAAACACAACACCAACACCAACACCAACACCACACCAATACCTGCCGAGTGACGTGGTCGTGCACGTGAGTGTGCATGTGTCTGGTTGAGCCATCCATCAATAATGCAGAGGTGATCTACATAGAGTGTAGTGATGCTGTAATGGAACAGCCCAGCTCAGGTTTCCTGCTTGTTGGCTGCACCTGCTCTCACAGACCAGAAGGCTCCACAGGCATCAGACGTTCTAACTCACAACAGAGGAACACACAGTAAACATACGGTGTAGTGAACAACCGTAGAGTTGGTGTTATTGTAGCAGACAAATATCCATGACATAAAGAATTGGAACAGTTAAACAGTAAATGAGAGCTGTGTTTGAAAGAGGCACCAACAGAACACTGAGGCTAACACACTGTTGTTGAAATTAAAAATGTAATGGTTCCCCTGGTGATACCAACTGTTGTGCCTTCCTCAGACTGCCTGGTCTACAGTGTGTGTGGATGAGCACGGCTTTATTAACCAGACCAGGATACATTGATCTGCTGATTTATAGTTGTCATTTTGGAAGTTTGTTGATAGCTGCTGATATTGGATGCTGGGAGTGGGGATGAGTTAAAGTTGGATGAGTTATTTGTCCTGTCAGAGCAGATTAATGACAAAGACTTTTTAATCAATAATCCAACTGATTGATCAGGAGTCTGTGTGTTTCTGGACTCCATCCCTCCCCTCCCTTTACTCAGCATCTCAGAGCGCACAGTCATCAGGATGTGTCTGTTCAGTCTGTGCTGACAGTCTGATGCACTGGCGCTGAACAGACCGGATCAATAGAGTGTGGTCCTGCTAATGAGAAAATCAAGCCATCATTGGACCCACATTTATTCCGACTGATCAAAGGGATGTGATATTTGGAGCTAAATGATCTTTTATCGTCCACAGCCAGAAGAAAAGAGGCTCAGTTCAACTCATTGAAACAGAAGGGCAACGACCTAGTGAAGAGAGGTCAGTTCCAGGAAGCTCTGGAGAAGTACACTGAATGTCTTACCATGAAGCCTGATGAATGTGCCGTCTACACCAACAGGTAGGCATTGAACGCACCACAGGGAAACCTCACCTGCACAAAGGAGAGTTTGATTCACTCAGTGAGATTTAGAGGTACAGTTTACATTGACTGTGTCCTAGTACAGGGTCTGCAGCCCAATGTTGAGTATGGTCTAAAATATGCTGTTAGACAGGACGGTAAAACTGGTGGATTGTGGAAAAACACAACAATATAATTTAATTTTACTCTTTTGGAATGGAGGGATAGAAAAAATTTGAAATATCTTTTGATCAAATATTAATATTTGAAATTGAGGTTGTCAGGCCAAAAGAATGCATTTTCTTTAGTGTAATATAATGTTAGATAATAATTATACAATGTGTCATGTATAATTATACAAATGGATCCATATTTACACTTTTGATGATTGAGATGAGATTACATGAGAGTAGAGGGAAGTTTCAACAATTCATCAAAAGTGACATATTATACAACTTGTTGTTGGCGGAGCTAAACCAAACAATCGACCGCATTTCTTGATAAAATGTACTCATAAAATGTGTCCCTCCGCCAAAGTACCCTTGTGGAACATGAACAAAATAGATATCTTTTGATAGAAGAAAACCGAATAAAAAATAAAATAATGACAATATTTATTCAAAAAAGTTTATATCTTATCCCTTAATAATTTTGCAACTTTTTAATATCCGTAAAACTAAAGCTAAAGCTGAATTCGCTACCGCCCGGCATGAATTCTGCCTTTATATCTGTCATGACGATTGCCAAACACTTGTAGTGTGCACTCGGCTGTACTATCTGTGGCCAGTAGACGGCGATATTCTGAATAAATAAAATAAAACAAAAATAAAAACAACTTATTGGGTCAAAATGGAGGGACAATAAGGTGCCTTAAATTGATATCCAATATAAAATGTATTTTGTCCTGTGAGAAGCCATTCTTCGTTTATAATAAAAATACTTATTTATTTATTTTTACAATAAATATGACAAAAAACGCTGATCCTTGGCCTGGACTGTTGTGTGTCTGGTGTAGTTGTTAATTGTTAATTCCCTGGGGACTATAAGATCTACCTTCCTGGTAAAGGTCACGTTTTAAGTCTCTGTTCTTCCACAGAAGATCAGAGTTAATGTCTTGTTATGATGCCCTTCTTGCCCCCAGGGCCATTTGCCTCCTGAGACTGTATCGCTTCGCAGAAGCCAAACAGGACTGTGACGCTGCTCTGCAGCTGGAGCCCAGCAACAAGAAAGCGTTCTACAGACGAGCTCTGGCTCACAAAGGTTTGCAGGTGACAGCAGCAACCACATGGTGGCACTGTGTTTTACTGTACTGTGAGTAATTGCAAGACAGTATTCATTTTGTGTGTATTTGTCTGCGAGTTCTGATATTTCTGCAGTGTTCCAATTTTATTGCCCAATATTTTAGTCACTTTTATCCTGTATACTTTGCAATAATTTTACTATTCGGTATTTTGATTTTAACAATAATATTTTTGTGAATTTATTTTTATTTGACTGTGGCATATTAGGAGCATATTTTGAGAAAGTAAAGTTAATTTTGCAACATTTTAGATTTTTTTTTCTAGAAAATGTTCTCAATGCAACAATTCTCCTCTGAGATCCTAAAAGTGTTTCTGATTCTGATCCAGGACTATCTATCAGCCAGCAGTGACCTCCAGGAAGTACTCCAGATGGACCCAAATGTCAGAGAGGCTGAGGAGGAACTGGAGGCGGTGACAGGTTTGCTGAGAGAGAGTCTGATGAACAACACTGTGCCCACACCCAGGGTAAGATGAGAATCTCCACCCAAATATTCACTGACCTTAGCTGTGATCTGATAAAGTCAAATTCTGCTGCTGCTCTTCAGGCTTGATCTTGTACCTGAGGAACCAGGACTCAACAGTTGAAGACGTGGAGGGAAAAACCTTCAAAGAAACTGTCAAAGTCACAGATGTGACAGAAATGATTCCCACGGTTCAGGACAGGCTCGGTGGAGCAGCTGTGACCATCACACAGCTGCTCCATAGACAAGTGCACAGCTGCACACATGATTGGACACTTTGGTTAGAATAAAGTCAAGTCACATGACCAGCTGCCTGCACTATAAATGCATTGAGATGATGATGTAACATAGTGTAAATACTGCTGCTGCTGCTGCACACCATTCTCTGCCGACGTGTGATAGACAAAGAGAGGAAGTGACATCATGTGTGCCTTACTGCGATTTTCTACATGATAGAATTAAAAAGCCAAGACTGACTTTGAGCTGAGCTTTTCCAAAGGTTTGGTTTAAATGACCTAATGATGGAAGAGCCAACAGAAGGAGACGTCACATGTACTTTCTCATATATGCAGTCTATTAAGATTATTATTATTATACAGCACTGTTCATCATTTTCCTCAACTGACATATGGCTATTTTTATTTATTTATTTTTATAACAGTTAATGCTTAGCAGTGTTTTGGCCAAGGTTGTCTTTCTGAACTCTATTTTCCATATCAAAAGTATTAATATCCGACTATTTTGTTGTGGTTTCCTTGTGTTAGGTTTAACGTATTTTGCTGCTAAGTTTTAGCTTGTTTTTTAGCTCATTTTATGAATGGGTTTTCAATATTGTCAGGTTTTGTTTTGAATTGTTTCTTGATAATTTGGCCGAGCCTTTTCCCCCAGTCTTTTTTAATTAGTTTGCTGTTTGTGGCTACAGATATAATGTTTACAAAATGCCAGCACTTGGTGACCAAAAAAGATAAAAAACAAAAAAGGACAAAATGCTCAAACAATAAAACAAAAAAAAGAAACAAACACAGAATTTCAATTTAAATGTGATCATACCTACAATGGACCAGCAGTGATTGCCTCCACAGGTGTTGCCTCTCATTAAACCCCTGTCAATTCAAGCACCTTTGGAAAACACAGAGGCTCCGCCCACTGTACTGTAACCCCAATCACTCTAGTGAAAACACCTGTGTAGTTGAGCAGATTTAAACAGTCACACAATACACAATATTTTTCTGTCTAAGTTAAAACAGTATGGTATTTAAATTCTCTTTCAGCTTTGTAAAAAAGAAAAGAAGAAATGTTCAAATATTTGACGTGCAGTTGAATCAACGTCTGTCCGCTAGCTCCTGAACTAAAGGCATGTACTGTATGTAAATAGTTTGAATGCAGCTGTAAATAATAAAATAAAACACAAACATGACAAATATATCATTATTTCTATTGACACATTTTGCTAATATTAAGCCATGTTTAGGTTCACCTTTAACCTTTGAGTTTTCTTTTTTATCCATTAGGTTTAACATTTTAAAACATTTTTGTCTAATTTTAGCTATAGTACAAAAATATAGTAAAACAAACCAAATCTGTTCAAAGAAATGAACAGACAATTTGATTGAAAAACTTTATTGTCTGTAGATATGCATTAACATGCATATTATAGAGCGAATCATTAGGAAATATAATTTTCTTTTCAAATAGCATATGCTGATTCAGACCAGGTAGAAAAACAAACCCAGTCCTGGTCTTCAAATAATAAAATAAGATTTCTTTAAACAACATAAACCACACAGATGAGATGATGACGAGGAACCATGTTCAATGATTTTTCTTAAAGACAAATCTCCAAACTTTGGTCAGAAATTTTAAAATAATTCCCCTTAAAAACGTATTGTGCATAACTATCAGTTTTCATGCGTTTTAACTTTTTTTTTTTTTTGGAAGAACAATATTAGTCATCTGGTGATGTTTATCATTTAAAGACACAGAGAATAAAGAAGATTAAAAATTGTTCCTCCAAAGGCACTGAGGCTTTAACAAACATTGCATCAATCATCTGTAAAGGTTCAAGGAAAAAAAACATATTACAGTTTTGATAAACCCAAAGCTCAAGAGCCCAAAGCTAGATAAATTATCGTTGACTGGTTTCTTGCACACATTTTCATCCACATTGCACCAAAGATTTATTAAAAAAATATTGATGTTTTCTTATTGTCTATGTTCATACGGTTGTTCTTTATTCATTTATTGTAAGATATATTTTGGATATGTTTTTTAAAGACCAGCTATGTGATACTGAAGACATTTGTTGTTGTTAGTCAGAAATTAAATAGACATTTTTAGATCAAAGAACAATTAAATTCTGAAATCTGATTTTAAAAAATCTGAATCTAAGAATTAAGCAATCTAAGATGAATCTAAGATTAAATAAAAATATCAATAAATTTGGTTTCAATTTCTGCTACTTTTCCCCTTTTTATTTACATTTGTTTAACCATAATAAACTAATCCTTTTATGATGTCAGCAAGCTTTGTTCACCTGTGACATTTTCCTACATAATAATCTCTTATATCCTTGTCCCATATTTAAATGACATATTTAACATAAAAATCCTAGATGAATAAGGAGACCAGGTGAAATCTGCTGACTGTAAAGAGAGTTTAAATCTGGACCCAACACTGGGCGTCAACATTAAAAAAACAACTTTCCCAAGAATGGAAAATAAAAATTAGAATATAACACATTATAAACATGAACAGTCACGTCCAGAACAAAGTGATGATCATCACTTTGTTCATTCATTGTTTTAGAAAGATGATTACAAACTATAATAATCTAATGGTGACTGACTGGTCCCACTTAAAATAACTAAATTTTGGGTTTCAGCTCTGGTGTTTCTGACTGTTGGTGTAGCGACCACAGTGATGTCATCAGAAGCATGAGAATCATTTTAAAAGCTGATTTAAAGCGAGATGAGAGAATCACAAACGTCAGCCTTATTTCTTTTTCTTCTGACCAGAACAAAAACCTGCTCCACACTTTTCCTCAGACCTTCAGCTCCACCTTCAACAACATTTTAAACCACATTCTCTCTCCAACTTAAACACTTCCAACCTCTGGTTCCTCAGCTTTACTTTCCGCCTGTGCAGTAATAAAAAAAAAAGTGTAGAACACAGAACCGACCAGAGCCCAAAGATGTAGCAGTTGTTTCAGGAGTGATAATTAGATGCTAAGGCAAACTGGTGAGGAAACCAACAGGGGGCGTGAGGAGTCTACACACCCATGTACAATGATGTTGATGTACCATTATGTTTCTATTTCAAATCGTTATTGTGTTTTATTTAGGAAGCGATTATATGACTTTAGGAGGAGAGAAAGTAAATAATCCTCGAATCCTTGACCTTAGGTTGTAGCACTGTTAATTAACCTGGTCAATTTTTAATCTGATAGCATTTTTGTGGAGGAAGCCAAAAATTGAACATGTTAACTGGTGATCTTCTTGCTATAAGGCAGGAACTCTAACCACTTCACTACTGTCGGTGGTGACATCATCGTCTTTAAGACTATTTTCCCTCCACCTTGAAGTTTTTGTTGCTGCCAGGAAGCCAAAGAGGAGGCCAGAGTGAGATGAGATCATTTTGTCTTCTTTTCTCCTTACTAATTTTTTTTACCTTGATGAAGATTTCTTCCATCATTTATTTTCTCATTGTATCCGGGGCGTGTCGACATCCTGTATCCACCTGAGGTTTTCCTCAGATGTCTGTTTGTACGCAGCTCCTCCTCGTCAGGCTCACAGGTTCCACTGCTGCATGACTGCTGCCTCCTCTAGTGCTCTCGTCATTTTCTGGCCCCGTTTCCGTGACGTGACCAGCACCCTCTTCGCTGATGAACAGAAACATCCCACTGCTGCCCTCTGTTGGAGAAGCAGGTGGAGACGTGGACAGCAGGCGGTGAACCAAGGCCTCGTGGCTGCTCTGGGATGGACAGTGCTCCAGACGGTCGTTTTCCACCTCGGGCATGGACGTGAAGGAGACGTTACTGAAGGCAGTGGTTTGGTGCTGAGCGTGGAGGTCTGTCGGTGCAGAGCAAGAAGTAGGAGCTGGTCTTAAGGTTTCGTGGTCGGTGCAGCCGAGCTCTGACGATGAGCGGCTGCATTGTGAGTCGGCGACGGAGGGCAGGCTCCCGCTGAGTGACGGAGAGTCAAACTCAGAGGAGTTGGTGCTGCGCTGCTCCACCAGATGAGCATCCATGTCTCCTTGGGTTTCCTTCATCTTTGTTTCTTCTTCTTCTTCTTCTTCGTCGTCTCTGCTACTTGCTCTTTTCCAAAGCTTACCTTTGCTCTTTCTGCCCGTGGAGGTGGAGGGTTCCTGAGAGCAGGTCGAAGACGAAGGGCAGCAGTGGTTGTCCTGCTGTGTGCAGCTACAGCTGGAGGGACCAGAGCCTCTGGTGGTTACTTTGAGGGCTGCAGTGCTGCTACTGCTACTGGCTTCATCCAGGCTGCTGCTGGCACTGGAGTGTCTCACCTTCTGCAGTTTGGGGTCAACATCTGCCTGGACTTCAAGACCATTGTCTCTGCAAATAGATCAACTCAAACTCAGAAATTGTACTTTTTCAAATTAAAGTCCTTTGTATTTTGAAACACTTAAATGTTTAAATAAATCCATCTTAAATATCCATCATATATTTTTTCTCTAACTACTTTTAACGTTCTTCCTTTAAAGGCTCAAACTGTGAAAACATCTTCTGCTGACCTGTCCATGGTCATGTAGGCGTTAAGAATGGATCCCGCCATGGCTTTTGTACTTGCATTGTCACTGACCGTCCCCAGACTGACTGTGGCTGACTCTCCACTCAGACTGCAGCGCTCCTTCTGGACATCAGCCTGCACTTCCATTCTGGATGAGAAAGAGAGAAAAAAAAAATCAACCAACTATATCCCCTGAAAATTATTTGTAATGTGTGGAAAGCCTTTTGACCAATCAGAGTCTCAGGTTCAGTCACCTGTTGTAGCAGCTGCCGGACAGGCTGCCTGTGATGCTGGTCCCAGCCATGGCTGTGGTGCTGGCGTTGTCGCTCATGTTGTCTCTCTGAGCGGAGCTCACGCCACAGCGCTCCATGTGGCTGCCACTGACACTGAGACTGAGGCCCGTCAGACCCCCCACACTGGCACCGTCGCCCAGGCTGGGGTTGTTGAGACGCGTCTCTGCCACAGAGGTCGTATCTGTGTGCAGAGAAGTATCAGGCAATTATTAATTTTACTCCGTCCACTAAATTACTGATTACTATACAAATTACTATATTTGTTTTTTGCCTTGGGGTGCTCTGACTGTCTGGAAACATACACCACCTCAGGTCACTGCTCAGGTCACAGCTTGTGCTGCTAGAAAGGTCAGTTTTACTGCTGTCACATGGAATCATGAATATTGCCAGCAGTATTTAAAGGAGGAGAAACTGCTGCAACATTCACATCTTCTGTCAAAGGTCCCTTATAGAGAATTATACACACTCACTGCACTATCAATTAAAAATTAAATGAAAAAAAATTCTTCACATTTCCAAGATTCCTTCCATTAAGTCAGACACACTGACCTGTTGCTGCTGCACCGCTGCCGATGTTGTCATTCTCGTCGTCAAATTCTATTCGCACACCTTTGCCGTTTCCGGCCGACACCCCGCAGCCGCCGCTCCGACACAGTGAGATCGGTACGACTCCGTAAACATAAGCCAGCATGATAGGAACACCAATGCCTACGCGACACAGTGAAAACTCACTTCAGAACAGATCTTGAACACATTCCCACTTTCTACTGATGACCCACAGAGAAAACTAATGGATCATTTGTGGAGAAGAGAAGAGGAGCCTTTTCTCACCGACTGTGACTGCAGCGACAACAGGCGACACAATAACAGACAGTGTCACACCACCAGCTATGACCAAGTTCCTCTTGTGTTTGGAGATGTCTTTGCCCTCGTAGCGGTTATGGATCTAAAAGAGAGAAAAACAGTGAAAACAAGTGAATGAGCAGACCTCCTCCTGGTCTTAATGTAGTGTATACACCAAGATTAATACATAGACATGGGGATAAAACAAGTTAAAATGAATGTTCCTACATATAATACAAGTCATCACAATGGCTTGTCAATGGTAAAAAATACGACAATAAACAGGACGAAAATATATTTTAGCAATATTACATTCTTAATGGGCTCAAACTTTTTTGTAACTACGAAAAAGGTTGTTGAATATGAACATGATAAACCATCTAACAAATGAAGTCACATCTGCAGCTATTTCTAGTCTCTCCCATCTCCTGCTGCACATTACTGAGTGAGTTTCTTTTTCTTCCAACCTATAATTTACAAACAAGTTAAACCGGCCTTTGGCCCTCTGTTACCATAATGGAACTTTTTAATGATGCTCATAAAAATGTCCTCATTTAATTGCATTATGTAGAGAGATCAAAAACCTTCTGAAATGACTTCCTCTGTGTTTACAGCCACAGCTGATGTTTATTATTGTTCAGGTTCCTGTTGGTGGTGGTGACGCTCACCTTCCTGCCCACGTACACCGGGATTCCAATGATCATTGCAGGGATGGCAATGCCTGCGATGAGAGCGATGCCCACTGGGGCTCCGACCAGAGTGCCAAGCTGCCAGAGGATCTTCTTTTTTCTGCTCCATGGCTTCTTACCCCAAAAGGTGCAGCCTGATGGACTGATGGGTGGAGAGTTGTTGTGTTACAGACTGTGAATGTTGGTTACAGCAATAACTATAAACTCAACTCAAAGGAGCCATGTAGAATATTTAAGTTTTATGTTATATGTCTAAGTACTTAATTTTATCATTACCACACTCTAGGCTCCTGGATTAGTATAATTCATATTCTAGTCTCTTATAATTCCTTCACCCCAAATAAAAGTCTCATATCTTTTTTGTCTTTTTTTTTAAATATCTCTCATTTCCTTCATGTGCCCCTCTTGGGCCTTTAAATGACCCCACAGAGATGAACACAGTTTTCTGGTTATAAAGCAGCTCTGTTAGCCTCACCTTAGGTAATGCAGGTCAGAAATCTCCTTCATGCAGAGCCAGCAGAACTCACAGCCGCAGACAGCACAGGTCATGTGATTACAGCTCCCATCATTCATCTTAATGATGTAGGCAGCACAGCGAGGACACGGCTTGATGTCATCACCTGATGTTAGACAGAAAAAAAGGACCATTATTATATACTGTATATACTTATACCTGCTTAGAAAAAAAAAGATACAAATTCATGAGTGTGTTGAAGTTAAAGTGAAACATGTAGGTTGTCCATCCTGGTTAGCATGAGGCTTCAGATACCTGCGGCTCCACTTTCTTGACTGTAGCTGAGGGAGGAGGACCTGAAACTCCTCAGCCGCAGACTCTGGGCTCTCTGTTGCCTGGCTGTGTCACATGTCTGGTTTGGATGCCACAGCTGTTTGCAGTGGTAACAGAACTCTGTCCCACAGCCCTCACGTCCACAGGTGATCTTTGGGCAGCTCGCACAGCCGAAGGCGATAACTGCGTAACTGAGAAAGGAACAGAATGGAGAAAATATGGCTTTTAGGAGCTGCTGGTATAAGTGGCTGTTATACTACAATTGAGACACCAGGGGTCAGCACAACAAAAATAAGAATAAAACTCAAGTGTGAGGAACACAGTGGTGGAGTCTTAGGAGCATAATGTAAACACAAGATTTATCAATATTTCACTTTGAACAATTTAAATCTTTATAAAGGTTTTTCATCACTTAGACAAAAAAAAAGTTGAATTACTTTATAAATGCACCAATGGGCTTTATAGCATTTAATGAACACTAGAACGATCAGTTCTGCATGACACCGTGGAAACTCGTCATTCATTAAAGATCATTACAAACGGTCCGTTGAAAGGCCATTACTGAACACCACAGAGTGAGATAAAGGGGTATTTCTGACCAGTGCTTCATTACAAGCGCGCAAATCTAACAGCGTATTTCAAAGTACCGGCCTTGGTCTAATTAAAATATAAAAGATGAATGACTTGTAGGAACTTCACATTATTAAACAGACAGGCAAGCTCCAAGACTATTGACACATCCAGGCTCCCACATCAGTTATCAGAGAAACATCATAAACAGACAGGAATACAGGAAACAAAAACAGTGACTGACAAATTAGACAGTAAAGGGCTTGTCTGTTTAATAAAAACTGTTAATTTGACCAGAACAACTGCACCCACTAAACTCACTCACTAATTTCTTTGTTCTGCCACAGCACACAGCAGAACTCATTTGGCTGAGCACGAACACCGTGGAGGTGTTTTGAGACCAGTCAGCAGCGCCGCAGAGATAAAGGCATCAGCTGATGCACACACAGCTGCTGATCAGCAGATAAACATCTTAGTTAAAATTAGAGGACTTTTCAATCAAACTGACTACATCAGCCGACATCAGCTGACGCTGCCTGTGTGTGTGTTTATACCAGGTTTAAACGCTAACGTCGCCTCTATTTCTGTTGTTAAGATAAAAATAATCAAACAAGTGTGACGTGTTGATACGGACATGTGTATATGGGCCAGGAGACAAGGCAGTAAATAACGTGATACCTGAAGCACAGAGGAATCATGTGCAGCACAGATGGGATTTTTTCATTGCTGCAGTGGTTAGATGATCCTACTATGAACAGAACAATTGCATTTCCCAAAATTTACAGATTTGATGGAAATAGAAGTAACTATTTTCCACAGCACGGAGCAACAGGATAGTACTGCATATTTTACTCCTGTCTTTCTTTAAAACTGAGAAGTGAGTCTGGAAATTAAATTTAAATACATTTCAAAGTTGTTACAAGATAAATTACTCAGTTATGATTTTAATTAAATACTGACAGATGTAAAGTAATTTATATTTTTTGACATGACAAATCATACACACACAACAACACCTTTTTTTCGTTCAAAACTCTGTTGAACACTGTTGGACAGCGAGCTGAACAACAAAGCTGTGTACATCTGAAGAGCAATCACACACAAGAACCAACAGTCAGAGTATTAATCAGTGAAGAGTGTGGCAGTGAGTCAGAGCTGGACTGTAGGGAGGACCAGAGCCGAAGCAGACTCATGAAAGGACTATTATTCTAAAGGACAGGGTCGGCAGTGTTGATGAAACAAAGCCATGAGTGAGGAGTAGAGAGTAAAAACAGCAATCACTTAAAACTAAACTAATGCTCAAGACGGGGAATGTGGAAACTGAACTCTATTAATGTATTTCTTTTCTTTTTTTTCTCTGTAAAAAGCAGGTCAGCTCCAGTGGCAAACAAACATGAGCTGCTGCTGCAAGTGTGACCGAGGGTCTAGGCATTTTTTTTTCTCTTTCCTTCGCGGCTGAGAGCAAACCGCTGAATGCCTAGCAGGTCTAGACATACATGACCCTGGCCTGACCTTCACCTTCACCAAGATGGAAACACAGAAACTGAGGTAAAAACATCTGCTATTTTAAAATAAATTTAATAACATGGCTATGTCCATGTTTAGTTGTTATAAACTGGTCCCATGCTGATGTAAGGTGTCGGTTTTTGGCCTTTATTGTCATTGTACAAATAAAGACACATATACACTCAATGATGTGATTGAAGACAACCAGCCCAATCCTCTGGTCACCAGGTCACATTAAGGAGTTGCTGTAAGTTACTTAGTACAGACATTCTCTCCCTGCTCAGTCGGCTCTGGTTTGAATTTGGAAACTTGTTGTAAGAATGGTCAAAGATTTCCAAACTGTGACTGTCATGACCACTATCATCTCCTCTGTGGCCACCAATCCTCATCTCATCCTCTCATGTGTACTCCTATTAACTGTTAAATATAGGAGCAGGTTTAAATCCCTCTAAAGCTCCACTGCCATGGTGACAAACGCAGTCTGATGACAACACATTATCGCTCACTGGCTGCTTTTTTGGGCCGAGTCGATAAAGCTGATGTAATAAAGAGGTCCTACCGTTGCAAGTTATTTATATTCAAAGCATCAATGCCAACTCTGGGATGAACTTGAATAAAGGGACACGTGACAGTCTGAGTTTCCTTGATGTAGCTAGGAGATTATTTTAAGGCTTGTTTGGCATATCAAAAGAATGGAACATGAAGCATATCGTAGATGACTAATGGAGCGAGTGAAAGATGAGTTCTGTGCCGGGATATTTTTAGTCAAATCATTTTTTTTAGCCAGCTGGCAGAAATAGATTCAGTAAATTGCTGTCTACTTTGTTGTTCACTGTTGAAGCTTCCTGCTTCAACTACGCCATTTTTAAACCATCATGTCACCATGAACTTTCAGGACATTGTGCAAGAAAGAACTAATCCCCTTAAAATGTTTTTGACAGTTCTGTAGTGATATAAAAAAAAATAATTATCCACATTTCTTACCCACAATCCGGGGCAGGGCACCAGCGACAGTCAGGTTCAGCTACCAGCCACCTCCTCAGCATGAATTCCTCATACTTCTCCATGAGGGCCTTGTCTCCCAGGATCAATCGTATGTCGTGGGGATTGAAGCGCTCCGAACATTCAGGGCAGCTGATGTTGACACGGGACTCAGAGATTTCGATGCGTAGATACTGTCTCAGACATTCGGCACAGGAGCGGTGGTGACAGGTCATGATGTCTGGGAAATGGTCTCGGGCATGGCGCAGTAGACACAAGGGGCACTCGAGGAACTCCGATGAAGACCCTGACACTGATGAGGTTGATGCTTCACCTGGTGCTGAGTGGGTGGAGGTTTTGTCGTTGAAGGTTTCTGTCTGGACAATTTCAGTGGTGACAGGGCTGTCCACTCCAAGTCCAGCCTGCAGGGGCTTGGATTTGCGCCTGGGGTCAAGGCGGCACCGTCGGCCAAACAGTGAGTAGAGGGACAGACGGCGCTTGTTGGGGGTCTTTTTAACAGATGGGAGACTAACAGAGGAGGTGGCAGACTGAAGATCTCGCTCTGAGCCTGTGTTGCCATGATGTTGCTGATGCAAACTGCTCATCACGCTGGACGGGACGCTGATGGTGACCAGTAGGGGGAGGAGGACACAGAGATTGTGGTAAAAAAGGGCAAGGGTATGCAGAGACAGAGTTAGGTTTCTTTTAGCTAGGACATAGTGGCTAAGCGTTCTACAGGAGCTCTCTTGAAGTCAGTGGTTTGAATCCCTGTGATGAAGAGGTCCTGTCGATTCCAAGGTGCCAATATTCAACCACAGGATGTCAATAACCTGAGGAGATGAAAAAAGTGTTAGTTTCAATGTCTACTTTAGAAAAGAAATGTACAGAAATTACCTTCACATGAAACCTGCCCACATGACATTAAAGGCTATAAAAATGGGGGTGTGGGTGTTTTATGACAAAGCCAGCCCCACGATCATTTGTTATTTTCTGACAGACTTCAGATCCCTCCCCGGCCCCCAGACATCTTTTGTGTGCATTTTAATCTGCTTACATAAACAACAGAAGGCTTTCCCAGGAGTGTGCATTAGTCAAGTGGAGGAAAAACAAAAACCTTGTGTTTTTCCAGTGTAGATGTCAGATGTGGCCACAGCTGTGTAGCCGCACCTCGCCACAAACGCTCCCACATGTGCATATTTAACAATGTGAGCAACTTCAGGACAACTCATCATCGTAAAGACAGTGTCTGAGTATCCTTTAAATTGCCATGATTCAGACGTGCAAAACTTTCCCATAATGGCAAGTCACGGTCTTTGAAAATACAGAGCAGTTTGTGGTGCTGTGAAAATTTAGGGATCACAAAACCAGCAAATTAACATTTCTGCTATGACTTCTTAAAAAAAAGTGAATGATTAAGAGGCAGTAAAAGATGATGAAGACACTGAACTTCACAACAGTTTCTGGCAGTATCTAATGACAGAGCTGCTGTGTGGGAAATGATGAACCTGTGACAGCTTTAACTGGAAATATGGTTAACAAGATGAATAGAAGCAACCACCAATCTTCTTTCTTTGTTTTGCTGTGTGCACACTGGAAAATACCAGTTATTTGCCAAACTATGAATCATCGATAAGAAAAAGGCGATGAGCATCTGCTGAGACACCAAGGCTACTAACACTGGTTTGACCGGGTGTAGGGTTTTTTTCCCCTTTTTCTCACAATAACATTGAGGAAGTGCTCAACTTTTCCTGCACAGATTCTGGTATTTAAAGGCTTTTTGAATTTTTCAATGTGTGGTGAGTGTACGACTTCTGAACATGGTACATGAACTGAAATGTAATTTTTTTAAATTATGAAAGACATTAAATTTGTACACTGAGAAAACTGTTAGAGACCAGTGTATTTCAAACCACTCTTTTTCTCCTTCATTCTAAAAATGTGAGACAATAACAGGGTTCGCTAGTTCATACAAGATAGGAGTTTCCCCCCAGGGTTTCACTGTGTTTTAACACATGACATGACAGATGTTGGTTTGTTATTGTTGGTGTAAAGCATTGGTCAGCATCGACTTTGACAGCATGTTTATACAATGGCCAGACTGTTTACCTTAAATGTATCTTTTCCAAACAGATAAAAATGTGCAATTACTGCACATCCAGCACTGTGGTCAGTGTGATTTCTTGGAAAATGTTTGTTTATTTGCATGTTGGTAAATAAATAAAATTAAAATCTTGGAGAGAATGTTTAATCCAGGGAAACACTGATGACAATGACGAGATTCTTTGCCAAGGAATGCTGCACTGATGACTTTCACATTTTATGCAGAATAAATATTACTTAATCAGTATTTCCTATATAAACATGTTGAGTCAAAGCTGTTTCATTATGATGATCCTTTGCCTAAATGGCCTTAGTGTGCAACAAGAAACAAATAGGTCGGCACCGCTGCAGAATGCACTCAGTGGACGGAGTACAAAAAATAAATGAGCAAATAAACAGAAAAATATCTGCAGGCCACAATTGCATCTCATTAAGCCATTGGTACCAGAGTCAGACTGTGTAGGGCCACAATTGCATCTCATTAAGCCATTAGTACCAGAGTCAGACTGTGTAGAAACTGGGTTTTGGAAGTTTAGAAGACTCATTTGAAAACCAAAATAGGCCCATTAGAAGTTTTAACAAAGCAACACACTAGCAGTACATAAGCTGATGAGAGATGATGAAGTATCAGACTCTGTTTCTCTGTTCTGTTCCTCAAGAACGTAGGTTCTTTAAACTCCTCAAGATGCCTTGGTCTACTCGGACCCCACCTATGAAACCTAGGCTAAATAACTATATTATGTTCTGATCTAAAGAAAATGCCTACCATTTCTTTACTAATAGCCAGGCACCAACACTGAAGTTTCCTCTCTAGATTGTACAAAAAGTACAACAGTCCAGTGTTTGTTATGCTTGTATTTTTGGCCACAGAAAAATAAAGTGACCTCAGGATGTTTAATGGCCGACAGGGTGAAAAAATCCAGGAATTGTTGTCCTTTTTTTCCGCACAGAAATTATGTAAAAGGAAATTGCTGGTTTTTTGATACACAAGCCAAATAAGCTGCTTAATATTCTCACGGATTTGTCCTTGTTGTGAGATACACAAATCTCTTGCGCTGGAGGAACATTTACCCCTGGGGAAATTGAAAGAACATTATTTCTCAGGAAATTAAAGTTCCTGTATCTTTGGGCTGGAAAAACCCTTACTGATGGAGAGATTGTGCTCCATTACATGATAACATGTTGGTGAATCAGACCTAATTATAATAATAGGACCTTTCTGTATTATCAGGGAACATCTGTACAAACTGTACAGATGTAGAATCTGTGCACACAGTGCTAAATTGCAAATATTTATTTTCCTATTGTAAAGGATAGTGCATGATAGGTTAAATAACCCTCCACTCACCAGTGATTCCCAGAAATTAAGAAGAATGTTTTTTTTAGTTTTCAGGCATTATTTAGACAATCAACTATTTTATGTACTGTGGAATAAAATAAGACAGCAAATGTGGAAGCTTCCTAAAAACTGTACAAGCAACATTAGGAAGTAGAAAACCCGAAGATTGTTTCCACAGACTAGACATGACAGCCCAACGATAATTCCACATCCTAGCGGCGCATAATGCACGAGGTCATCCCACCAAATCATATGTGCAAGAGGAAATATTCAACAAGACCGAAGACAATCTACAAGCCCATGTGAAATGACACTCCACAGGAGTAATCAAAGTGGAAAAGCCTGCCTTGGCACTGAACTGAATAGAGTGGGACTTTCCATGTGACTGCGACCAGTGTGTGTTTAGCATTGTGTGTCTAAACACACGGATGTATTCAACTTTCAATGGCTTGGGGTCAATCACAAGAAACCGCAACACACACACTGGGATGCTGTCCCAGTTCCTGAGACAACCCCAGGGCAGGAAGCCTTCTGTGGCAAAAGAAATGGTTTCAACCCCTCTGTCGAGTCACACAAGAAAGACTTCAAATTGTTTGATGGTGTTATCATGATTATCATTGCAAAACAATTTAAACCAGTGGTTTTCAGAAGACAGTTCATCCATAGGTCATGGGCTCAAGGGTTTTTTAAAAAGTCACACTGTAATCACCTTCTCAGGGTGGATGGTTAAAAAAAAAAAAAAAAACTAAATGTGTCACCAGAGGTAATGGTTTCAGCATAATTGATCAGAGCCACAACATGCTGGCACCTGCACTACAATCGCCAAAATTTGCCAAAGTTCCCAATGGCTGCAGTTTTACTTACAATTAGTTGCTTAACTAAATGGTAATTTGGTTAACTGCTGCTGGACAGCCACTGCACACTGACAAGTCTCACTCAGATTCACAAGAACAATGCATATATTATCAAAAGGTAGGAAATGAGTTCAGCCCTGCAAGAAACTGCCAATCTTTTCCTAAGTATTTGTGCTAGCAATATTGTGCAGTGTCTGTTTCCAGGAGGGCAAGTCAACAAAACCAAGAAAAAGATATTCCCTTTGCAGCTAAAATCTCTTTTTCTAAATCTTTTACCTAAAAAAATAATAACTATATAAAGCCTCTGACTAGTGTAATAAAAAGAAGAAAAAAATCTAATTTAAACAGAAATTAGATTTAAGGCAGAAATGTTGTCTATTTCAACATTTTGCTTGGCTGTCACAGGTCTACGATTAATAAAATAATCGGTCTACTGTTATTTTTAATAAGTAAGAGGACGTATGATTCAAAACAACTGGGTTTGGCTTTTTGGCAGCAGTCGAACAAAGATCCTGCTTAACGTTTCTGGTTAAGTCCAAAATAAAATCACAAGTGCAATGCAAACACTTACAAATTGCTTTTACCACAAGACCAAGGTTGTGCCAACATTGTTAAACAATTACCAGAGAACAATGATTATAAATTCCAGTAGTTATTATAAACAGAAGACAGACTATTTATCACGTTAGAAACCTCAGTCTCCCTGTAAACACTGGGCACACACGCACACACACACACGTCAATGAACACAATGTCTTCAGTCTCTGCAATCATCAGGATATGGACCTATAATTGTCAAAATGACTGAATAAGACACACACTTGTTTGTCCTATGGAAGCAGGTCATGCTGCAAGTTTCTTGTGATAACAATTTGTGCATGTGTAGAGGCCAAAAAGGGAGGCTAATGACTTGCCTAATCCAGTTTTGTTTAAAACTGGCGGGCTATGTTAACAGAAACATTTGTTGTGTTAAATAAGTCTAAGTCTTATTTATTCATAATGAAAGTAGTCATTTTCTGCTGTTCTCCTGTGCCAGAAAATAAAAAATAAAATCACTCAATTATACAGTTTGTGTATTCAGTTACGGTTGGTAATTACATGCTTAGAATTGCTTTTCTGCAGTCAAAACTTGTCAATGTTCTCTAATAGAGGCCTCGACTGGAAAAAATCTACTGCTCTGTAGTTTGTCAAGGCTTCTAAGTTCCAAGGCTGGAGAAAAGTTGCCCA